TAATCGAGCTACTCTGCGATGTTTGACTCAAGGGCAGAAGCATCGTTGGTCCTTTAAATTTCAGGAGAAATATTTTGAAAATACTATCAGACTCGCGCCAATTAAAGGGAAAACATCCCCTTTAGCAGTGGTACGATAAGGATTTTTCTACGTTACGACTCTCGGTCCATTGTGAATCTCTTTCGCAAGGCCGGCTCTTTCAAGATTTTCAGAATACCTCGGGTACATGCTCGTGCAACTCCGTGCACCTATCGCGAACAAATTCTCGCCTCGGATTTGTGTTCGTTCGGCGAAGAAAGGCGAGCTAGAAAATGGGGAAAAGCGTCGAGACGTAGGATAAGATCGAAGGATTCCCTTTCCGATACGCTCTATATGCCTAATCGTATGCAAATCGCGGCTACGCTTCTGTGAACGAGTGCATCGATGTCGAGGATCGATAGAGCCTGCTGGTCGATGTAAAGGGGTAAACAAGCGTCGGAGAATGCGAGAATCAAAGTCGTGATGGACGAATATTTACATGAAAATGGTGGAACGACTTGATCCTCTTTCCAACGTGGATGAATCGTTGAAAAATGAAGCTGGATGAAAGGGGAGCTTGTTCGTTGGCTGAGAAAACTCTGAAAGCTCTTACTCGAGCAAGTATTTTAAGCAAGTCCGAGCAAAGGATTGATAAATTGAAGAGAAGATGTTATATTGAAGTTTCGCGTTAGTTGAAACACAAACTTAGTCTTTTTTCTAATTGAAACGTACTCGCGCAGTAGATTGATTATTTAAACGGCGAGCTCACTGGCCAAGCAAACAAGAACATTATACGAGAGAGGTCGAGAGGGTTTTAATATTGAAATTGGAGGATTCGTTTACCGGACACGTAGAGAGGTTATTTTCTGAAACTCTTCAGAGAGACTAAAAACTCTCGTTATCTCGTTCATCGCTGTTTCCCATTGAAGTTTTAATCGAATCAGACGAATAATTCGATGTATTCATCGAGACGTTCAACAGGTATTATGTACATCTGTTTTCGTAAACAATTTATCATCGTTTGTTAATTGAAACACTTGTACCATCTTCTAATGAGATTTCTTAAATATTTACGTATTATTCAATTACCTCTGAATCTCTGTATTTTTGAAATATTTTCGAATATTCTGAAGTGCCTCGTGTCATGTTTGATGAAATTATCCGAAGTTTTGTATGATGTTTAATAAAAATATAATGGCTTGTCAAACACAGGGGAAACGTCTATCAACGATAGAACGAAGGTGCGTGGGAACTGGCGGCCTTTCGACCCTTATTTCAGGATTTCGTCGTAGAGATACGCCAATTATCAGGCAATGAGCGCTTCTGTTTGCCGTCGTATACGTTCTTGCGGTTGGCATTTATCGACTGCTTTGATGGGACTTGGTGGCTCGATCAGAGTTATCCCAGTGATTCTCGGCAATCCATTACACAAATGGACGAAATTACGTTCCTGCGTTGCACAAAGTGTCCACCAATCGGAATCGTACATCTCGGGCTTCTTAAACGCGTGGAAAGCGAAACGGGTAACTTCCATTGAATTTTCAACACGATACGAATTCTCGGAATTTCAATAATTCTGTCGCATATTTAATCGATCGACTAATAGTTAACACCGAAGTAAACTCGAACAGCTGTTTTAGCTTTTTCTTTCTTCAAATTCCCCAGCGTTTCTATTTTTTAAGGAAACAGTGATTAACCGAAATTCAATTACTTTAAACTGTGAAGCGGGTGAACGAGGAAGCAGAACCGAGCAGGGCTTCGATCGACGACAGATTTTCCGGGCTATCGATATTTCCTTGTTGGTTTACTGATCGATACACCGCAGAGAGGCGAGAACGAGGGGGATACAAAGTTTCGCCAACATCCTAATCCGGAAACCGTTCCCGCGACGGGACGCTGATAATCCAAGTTCGGCCAGTTGACAATCGAACCTCGACCACTCGATGTTTCTCCACGTTTGATAGAACACGGGACAGTAGATGTAGCGAACAAAATCGAGGCTCTTACAAAGCTGACATAGGAAATAATTCCGAATCGCGTGATCCTCTTCAAACTCGAACAATTGCGTTCCCGTTCAACGATTCCTCTGTTTGCTTTACTGAATTTTCCACAAATATTCTGTTACAGTTTAAACCTCTTCGACCGAATAATCAATCAATATGAGAATCGTCGAATTTCTATGGATAAAGTTTATCGAAAGATTCCTGTCTACTAAAAGCAATCACACTGCAAATAATTTGTAAAATATAATCTTTGAATAATTCTCAGTTCTGTTTATAAAAATTCAGTCGTTATAAGAATTTTATCGAACTCCGCCACCTGTCTCGATCGTTACATCAAACAAAATGACAGTCGCTAAAGATATTACGAAAGAAAGAAGACTGATATCTTCTTGAAGTAACTCTAGCGCAGATATTTGATTCAAGAGACTTTCATCAATCTTCTGGATACACTTGTGCCACTATGATCTCAGCATCGAAATTCTTTTCAGCAGAGCCACAGATTTCACTGGATTACAGTAATAAAGGACACCAAACACACGTTTATCTGGTCTTTGATACTTTGGGAAACCGAAGAAAGCACGATATTCTTGTCTTTAGCGAGCAACGAAACCGGGTCGTTGAGTATAACGTTCGCTTTATCATTGAAATTCAGCCGCAGAGTCACGGTAATTCGCTTTCTTTTTCCTCTCGTCGGAATCGGAATGCGGCAATTTCATCTCGCGGCTCATGGAATTATTAGAATTCGATATTCGAAATCGTTCCGTGTGAAATTTACATTTTTCCACGGCGAGGACGAGCCCTTTCATCGACCTTTGATTGTAAAAAAGGTTTCTTGAAAGTTGGAACTCCCGCAATTTTTTTCCTCGAGTTAAAATGTGGACCTGCAGATTTTTTCGAAGTATCACGAGCTGAAAGTTCGAGTCTTCGGAAGTTTCTGAAGTTATAGAAAGTGAAATATAGAGGCACTGGAACTTCAAAAATTGTAACTTGGAACTGCAAATTTATCGGAAGCTTCAGAAGTGAAAATTTGGGGCTACGAATTTCTTTGGAACTTCGGAATTGAAAATTTGAAAGCTTTAATGTTCCTAAAGCTATGGAAATTGAAATACAAAGGTTCTGGAACTTAAAAAATTAAAATTTATGATTGCTGCAGTTTTCAGATCATTAGAATAGCTTCATGGAATATTTCGAAAAGCTCGCGAATTTCTGATAGCGCATGCACGCATATTGATAATATAATTGGCCTTTAGTGGAGTTTATCGCCCACGCTGCATGCCAATGAGTAGTTTCCAGCGTTCATTAGCTGCATTGTATCCCCGCTATGTATAGTGGCAAACTTGTGACTTCCATCTATCTTTCAACGCGACATCCGTGGTTCAGCACCGTGCTTGCCACGTTAAACTCGTTGAAAGTTTCATAAGAAAACAGTTTTATCTCCGACGCGACGGATCTCTCATTTATTTGAAAGACGTTTCGGCAATATTCGCATTAATGTTCCACTGATAACTTGCGTTATAATTTTTTACCTGTCACTTCGACGCCATGTTAAATATTCCCTATGTTCGGTCGAGGAAATTCAGAAAATTCGTGGACGCGTGGAAAATGCAATAACGTCGCCTCGCGAGATACGGGTCGAAAGTAGCCGGGTAATGAAATAGCGTCTGGATCCTTTTCTCTAATTCGCGCGACCGTGTCGACGAGTTGAAAGCTGAAGTTTCACCCACGTTTCTCAGGATCTTCTCACGGAAGTTAATGAAACTACTCGTCGCGTTTGTCACGGGTCAACGAAGACGTCTCATTATTTCGTTCGATCTTTTGTTTTCACGGTTGAACATCGCGTTGCTGCTCGGACAATTTTAACGGAGAATCATCGCTCCGTTGGAAAAATCGATCATCAACAGGTATGTAGGTCAGGACAACCCTTATTCCCTGTTTCGTAAACCGCAAATGGGTCAGAATAAACTTGTACCAAGGGGTTTACGATGCAGGTGTCGGCAATGGCTCTGTTTTGTACTCGCTTCAACCCTCCACGAAACATGGAGCATGAAGCATTGTTTAAATGTCATCGGATGTGCACCGAATGTACTCAAAATTATAAATCGTCTCTTTATATCTACAAAAAGGGGCGTTCAAACTATCAGTGTTTTTTATAGAAGACAAAAAGAAAACATGGTACACGACATGGGATTAAATAATCCCTAGGAAATTAGTCAACTTTTCGAATGATCGACAAAATGGAAAAATCGTGTCCGTTCGGATGGTTCGAAAATAAAAGGAACACACGAATATGGCGCGTATTTAAAACGGAAGTGTCGGAGAGAGGCGCGGAGTGCTTTCGCAGAGGGTGCGGGGGTGGGTGGTGCACATCGATCCCCCGGCTGCAGTCTGGTAGGGCCAAGCCTCGTGGAAGGATGCACACGCCGATGAGATAGCAGGAAATTGAATAGTGCTTTCACTTGATAGCGAACCGAAGTGGCACTGTCATCATGAGCAAACTATCTACTTGCTAGAATTAATTCGACTGTGAACGATCTCGTGTCTCGTTTACTTTTATTTTCGCTCTCCATATTAAGTCGCCCTTCTTCTTCTTTTGAAGCTCGACGCTTTCACAACTGTTTGTTATTGTTAATACTCTTTGAAGCTCACCGGTGTAAGCCTGCGCGTCTAAAAGGAAAATGTTTCCATTTCCCAACATTGCAGCTGGACTCATAAAAGGTCTTAGAAGGCACTGATACTCGTGTGTGTCAGCATGTACACGTTTCACACAGGGTGCTTCGTAACAGGTGGTACAATTGGGACGAGTTAGTTGAAAATGAAGAACATTTTTATTTGATAATAATTTTGTTCAAATTTATATGTAAAAATTATTTCATTCGTTCATTTATCGTTGGAAAAAACATTTTCTTTCATTCTTTTGTTACCATCACCATCGCAGTAAATTCCGACGATTGTTTTTTTATTGACGATGGATTTTTATCGTTGATTGCAGCGCTTAAAATGTCTGGAACCGAGGCTCATGGCGGTGATACGAGTCCCACGGGTCAGCCAAGGTAATTAAAAAATAATCCCTTCAATTTAGTTTGTTCGAGGAACTGTTTGAAAGTCGGTTTACTTTACAATTCTCGTTTACACGCACCAGCGCGCGATAACTTCTCGAAATCTAATTGTTCTTAATCCGTTTATCTTTCGCGTCGAATCGTCACTGTGAGAGGGGTGCTCTTTCCTTTTCTCTTTCACCCCTCAACGTAGCGGGACATTTAATCGCGGAGTTCTTCGTTCCGTGGCCAGTAAATTGAAGAAATGAGCTCTTGTCGTGAAATAAAAATTGCGTAGCTTAGAGTACACGGACAAACGTAATAATGTTCGTTCTTTCGAGTCCCTTTTCTTGACTGTGAATTCGTACTCCAACAACTGACGCGATATATAAAAGTTTCTATGAAAAGTCTACCCCTGCTTTTTAATCTGTCTTAAAGGATGAACCAGTAAATATTGCTAATTAAATGATACTTAGAAAAGGAGCGACTGAATTTATGGCAAAGCTTTGCAGGAAGTTGGAACACGAACGATTGGCGCTGACAGAAACCTGATTATAGTAATTAGATGGTATTAAACTTTCGAGGACCATCATTAATAGTCCTCAGATGCGTTTCGCGTGTCTTAATTCGTTTAAATGTGTGGTCAGTGCTCGTCTTTAATATTAATTGAAAGCATTCATTATATAGAATTCCCGGTTTCCGTAATTCCGTCCCCATAGAATGAGTTCCGAGTAAACGGAAGGAAGCATCACATATCTACACTAAATATCTATCTAAATATCTACACTAAATAGTTCACTTTTCTTGATTACCCATCACCATTAAATAATTAACATAGTAACGACTTTATAATTGTCTAGAGAGAAACTTCGACAAACACTGTGGAAAGTTGCACTTTTCCAATTTTTTAAATTGGACTTTAGCGAGTTCACGCCTGAAGGCAATGTTTCCGTGCGAAATTTCAGACAGAGTAGAATTCACAGCGTTGGATTACCGGCTCGCACGTCCCTGCTTCCGGAACCCCCGCCTACCGGAAACGGTACTCCACCACCGATTCCACGACGCCATTCAGCCACACCTGCGGTGAGTGAAGTTTAAATTGTCTCGTTTCTTCGATTAACGCTCTATTTTTTTAATTAAAAATCTGGGTTGTATATTGAAATCTGTGATGTGTGAATTTGTAATTGTATAGAGTTTTTAGATACCATAGAAATACTTTTCCCTAAAAAATACTAAACTTGATTTTACATTATTTGAAACAACGATAGCAAAAATTCTAAAAGAAGACTTAACAAACCTTTTGTTAGGCAAGGGTTCAATCAAGGAGCGCACGCTTTTGAAAGAAGCTATAAATCAACGAGTCTTGGTTTTCTAATTTCTTTCGAAAAATTTACGCGAATTTCGTAGAATTTCTTCGTGCAAAGTTGCGTAAATCATGGGGAATAAAGCGCGGGTTAGTGGCGCGCCAACGGTAGGCGAATTTAACAAAAACGAAACGAAAAACGACGTAATCTTATCAGCCGGTAAAGCTCGTTCTAGGTGGTTGCATTTAATCGAGCAGAAGCATTCTTTGCAGGAGCTTTGCACAACTCGTTCGCCGGTTGCTCGAACTCGCCCACGTAATTAGTGGACAAACGAGGCTTTAATGGATCAAGCTGCACCCATCGCCGGCAAATCTGGACGCTCCAAAATCCTGACCGATCATTTAAAGAGGCCTCCCGTTAAATGATCGATCAATTTTTGGAGAGTACGGATATGTAACGAGCCAATTTTTGGCTTCATCTGTTAAATATCTTTTAGTTACCTACATACTTTTCACTTAATTTTCTTAGCATTTCGAAAGAGGAAAAATACCTATATATTTAAAATTTTAAAAGATCCATTAAAATAAAAATAACAAATGTATAGAATTTTCTTTAAACCCCAAGTTTTAGAAGATTCACAAATACCTTCGACTTCATCATCCCTGAGCGGTTAACTCAATCGAGTAGAACAAACGAATACGCTTACATAACAAAAAAGCAGAAACACAATCTTCTGTCCTTCCTCTGCCCATATTCCCAAGGGATAAGCGGTTCAATCGAGCAGAAGAAATTCAGGAAGAAACTGGTTGATCCCACAGGTAGCTCCGCCACCGATACCAATGCGATTACCAGCGATTCCTAAGCGAAGCAAAAACGAGAAACCTATACCGATACAATCGTTGACGAGACAAGAAACAAATCTATCAACCAACGATCAAACATCGTCGATCCTATCCGCTTCCTGGACTCACGATTCGAACAATGAAAAACTGATCGATCTGGGTCCGTTCCGGTCTCAAGATCAATCGGCTAATCAAGACTATACATTGAGCTTTTCGGATAAAGAGGCGCGGGATACGAATCAGGACAACGATTTCGTGGCGGATTTCGATAAAGCGAACTTTGAAGAGGATTGCAAGCTCCGTCAGAAGTCGAGCTTCGAGGAGTTGCAGAAAGCTTCTCGCGATCTTGAGAAGAGGCTGCACGAGAGGATCGTAAAGAGTGCAGAGTCGAAGTTTAAAGATCAGCAGGGGGTCAGGGACGGACGTCAAAGGCAGACGGTGAATCTGCAAAATGATAGGTGAGCGTAAATTCATTAATTTCCTTGATTAACGCTTTTAAAGTGACACGTTTGTATAAAGTCCAGAAAATTTTTCTACGCTTTTCCCCTCGTCGTTCGTTTACCTGCAACCTCGTCACAATGTAAGTCGCGTCAGCTTCCGCGTTGCATACACGAAGAATCTCTCGAAATCACTTCCGCCGCGTTGATTAGCACCGATCGTTTTGAAGCGGTTCGAGCGGTTCGCTGCAAGTTCGCGAGCGTGTTACGGGCAGCGCTTAAATTAGAAGCGAGATGCTTAACGGCCGATTACGCTTACGACGGGCTTGTTAAACGAAGCGTGAACTTGCTCGACTCTATCTCGAGTAGACGTTCGAGTAGAGTCTACTCAGCAGACGTTTCTTCAAAGTGGTCTGGCGTTCTCGTAACCGCTAGTCAGCCTTAATTCTCTGCTCCTCGTGCGTGTATTTTAGCGAAGAGCCTACAAGAGAGTTTCCCACCGAAAGAATGTCTACAATGTTCCCAGATTAAAAATTCCTTCTTGAAGCAAAAGATAAATAAATTTTTCAAAGAACAAAATACTGTGGCTCTTATTTTCACTGTAGAATTGATGCTTTCATAGAAGGCACTCGTGCCATTCTTGTCTGCAACGATCATATTTTACAAGAACAAAAACCTTTGGCTGGGGCGTAAGCATCGGAGCTTGAAAGGGTTGAAGAAACGCGCGTTGTCGTTCGTGGAATTTCTCCCCTGACACTTTTTTAATAAGTCGAACAACGTAGCAAGAATAATTTAATCAACGTGCCTCTGGACGAACTTCTTCATTCCTCGTCTTCGCACGACAGGTTTCACTCTTCGAAGATGGAGAAGGAGAACGATGGAGATGGCTGCGAGGAAACGGCGAGCGGAAAATCTCGGGACAAAATAACCCCGTCTCGAATGGAGGCTCTGCAGGAGGACGAGACGAAGTTCGCGGCGTTGGTGAGGTCGCGTCGCGAAGTAGAGAAACGATGTAAGTTCGAGGAACTTCAGGCTGTCTCGAAGAAGCTGGAGAGACGCTTGCACGAGGAGGATGATCATCTTCGTGGATGTAAAGAGAGATCCATCGGAAGGTAAGCGAATTTTCTTTTGAAACAAGAAACTTTGGCATGTTTCGTTTCGTTCAAATAATTTGGAACGTTGCTTTTCTGATGAATTAGGTACGAGGAGCTTCAGAGAACATCGCAAGACTTGGAGAGACGTTTGCATTCCGAGCAGAAATCATCGGAAGCGATGGCCCGTGGAAAATACGAGGCGGAGATGGATAGAGCGAGGAATATCCTACAGCATATTCTACGAAAGGATAGGAGCTGCGGCGAGAAACTAGAGAAACTGCCGAAGGCAACCCAGACGAATCTTCCACCGCCTCTGAGCGCAGTTTGTCAGAGTTCAGTGCCGAAACCCATCAGCGTACGACAGGATAGTAACGTTTCTTCGGATAGTTTCAGTCAAACCAGCTCGCCTAGCTACACCAGCAAAACTATGGAAGCTCCTCTTCTTCCTCACAAATATGGCAAGGTTCCAGGTAAACATGTTCATCTTGCCTCGCTGTACGTCCAAAATTTTCCACGAAGAATCTTTATAATTTTTAGTAAATCATTTTGATAAATAATTTTCAAATTTAAATTTCCAAATTATTACCCTACGTTATTATACAACGGTAATTTTAAGGATGGGATTAAAATCGCCAAATTAATTCTAATTTCAATTGGCGATTTTTGCGGAAATTTTCAGACAGAGCACTAGTGTCAGAGCCAGACAATTCGTCGAACAGGACCATTACAAAATCAACCAGCACCCCTGCTAGTCTACAGGCAATTGTCAGAGTTCACGGTGGTAACAACAGCTCGTTACATCATAAGGTAAGACCGCGACGCGACTATTTCAATGCGCAGAACGCGTTACGTAATACGAAAAAGGGGACGATTAATTCTTTTCCTCGGGTTATCGATTGCGTTACCATTTCCCACCACAATGTTACGTAACCCTGTCTCTATAATAGACCTGTGTACATAGATTCGTTAAGGGTCAAGCGATATCTAAAGGGAATTACTAGCACGCTCGAAGGAGCGCGACTGGGTTTAAAAGGCAGCTTCTGGAGCTCGCTCGTTGATACGTTTGTTTGTTTATCCGCAGACCGGAAACGTTTCGAGTCCATCTCGTTTGTTTGGTAGCTCATCGATCGGTGAAAATGATTTCTCTGCTAGAGAGACTTCAGAGATTTATGAGAAATTGTCTATTTTCAAACCGTTTTATTACTTCGTCAAGAGAAACGAATTTATAGCTGAATTTTTGTGGAAATATCTCACTAAAATATCAAATTGTTCAAAACCTGTGGGCGACGGAATTTCATCGTCGCTGTGCTCTTTAGAGAGGAAAAAAATGATACAAATATGGGCCGTGAGATAATCGCGACACGGATAAACGATGGTACCGGCTCGTACGCGGAATAAACGAACACGAAATCCCGCGTTTCCATGGGGATCGATAACTCGCGTCATTTACTCCTTTTGTTCGCGATCAGGGGAAATGGGAAAGCGCGGGTTCTTGTCGAGTTACGGGCTCGATATCGGCCAATATCGTAGCCCGTATCGAGTATTAGCCGATATCATTTTACACGAAACGTTCCTGTTATTAGCGTCGAAAATGGACCACGGGATAATAAACGCTGAAATCCTGTATCTACGATTTCGAACAGGACGATTGAAACGTTCATTTCCCCCTCATCGATTGTTGTTAATTTCTTTGCCTTTCTCTTTTATATTTTGTTAATTATCTCTCGTTCCATCGGGAATAAATGTCTCGCGTAATTAAACTGTTTTCGATACAGAATGCAAAAAACGTTTTAGCACTTTCAGTATTATTATAATAATCGTGTTACATATAAAGAGTATCAATTTGAACGTCGCGTCTGACTATTCACGATTTATTCTACTTGTCACCTTTCACTATAGTGGAAATTGTAAAGACTTGAACACAATGGATGGTGGTGATATGACAGAAGCACGAATGCAATTTAATACGAAAACAATACCACTTGCACATTTCAGTAGAACAAAACCTGCTATTACGAATCTACATAAAATCCATCGAAAGTTCAAAGGAATTAATTATTCGTATAATTGCGTGTTTACCTCTACGGTGCCCATTTTCGTTGGAAATTCGCGAAACCGTGCATGTACCAGGAAATTTTACAGACAAATCTGCTCTTTTAACAAAGTGACGTAATTTGTACTTTAATATCACGGTGCAACGGTGAGAAAATTCTAATCAATATGGTCCGGTTGGAGAAGGGTAGGTACTACGTAAGCAACGTTCACTCCTCAAATACAGATTCCGTCGCGAACCACTCGAAGACATTGAGTATTTGGAACTAATATTAGTACCAATTTGTAAACACACCGACGAAGTATTACGTAATCAAACAACCCTCTGGAACTTGTAGAATTCGTGTATCAATATTTCAGATTAGAACCATTAAGTCCATTAAGTTTAAAAATTATTAGAATTTATAATTACTTTCGATTGCAATCATTTTTATCGATCTGTCTTCAGATCATTAGAGACATGACGAACAGCCGTTATGTGACCACAGGGAGGCTTCGACTTAGGTTCGTGCAAGTGTTTTTTAACGCTGTTGCATTGTTGATCATCGCTGGAGGTTTGGCCATATACTTCAAATGTAAGTAAATTCGTCCAATATATTTTATCTGCCCGAATTCTTTTCTGTTCGAAATTTGATACGTATCTAACTGAACTGAACAGTGAAAGTAGGAAAGTTTCATCGTTATTAAAAACAAGCTAAAGTGAAGTAGAGCGAGATTCGCTTTCGAGCCAACCCTTTTACGGCCATTTCCGATCAGACTGAAAGTGGCAAAAAAAAAATTTTTTTCGGCCATTCGTTCAGATTTTAACCCACTAAATACAATGGCGCAAGAATTTTTTCGATAACTCTTACCGTTTGGCCTGTACAAAAGTGACAGAAAGTCTAAATGCTGTAGCCCCCTTCTCAAGATTTTCAATCTTAGATACGGGTTCGCTAATAAATTTATCTACACGAAACAGCGTATCTGGAGACTGTGATACGATTGGAGAACAAAACGATCTACAGCAACGTGATGGCGTTGATGGAACGAACGCCAGCGCCGATCGAGCAGAAGAATCCAGCACCGGGAGTCTGTTTACCTGTGATCGTGACCTTCTGCCAACATCACAAGGTAGACTTTCTGTAAAATGGCAATGGACAAGCGTGCCACGCGTGGCTCGCTTCGAAATTTCCAATAATCTGAACGGGAATTCGTCCACGAAATTCTCGAGATTCATCGAATCGAATTAAAACGATGCTACTGGCGTTCGATTACAGCCACGTGTCGCCTGTATACTTTTACACAGATATCAGAAGAACTTTATACAGATATCCAGAACGGATGATCGCCTGTGTTCTAATTTGAAAATTGACAAAATAATTTAGTGGACGAAAATTTGTCTTTTATTTTCTTGCAATTCACGAAAGATTTGTTTTGAATATTTTCAAGTTATCATTCTGGTATTTTGGTCGTTTGTCTCCTCAGGTCCCGTATAATTTCACCGTGTTCCCGAATTACATGGGTAATGTCGCGCAGCGCGACGCTCAGCACGTACTCGAGCATTACGACACCGTGATCGACGTCAGATGCTACGAATTGACCGCCCTCTTCCTGTGCAGTGTTTTTGTGCCGAAATGTGGATCACGGGGACACATCGTGCAACCCTGTCGTAGCCTGTGCTTCGGTAAATGCAATACAAATCATTGAATTTATATTAGGAAGATAACTAACACATATCCATTATACCTCGAATGTAATCGAATATATAATTTATAAAACACTTTCGATTGGAAAATTGTACTTTCGTTTAGAAACCAAGAGACGTTGCGGCTTTTTCTTGAACGTGTTCGGCCTGACTCTTCCGGACGATCTGGAATGCGATTTGTTTCCGGAAAATCCGAACCCCGACGAGTGCGTGGGCCACCAAGAGGTGCTGGAAGCAGCCAAGAGAGCGGAGAAACCCAGTAAGTAATGATTCGAAATTTTTGTCATTCCACGCGGTAAATCATTGGAACGTGAAAGCTTTCAAAAATCAATTTCTAACAAAATACCGTTTGTTTCACGTTTCGACCTAGAAAATTCTAATAAGAAAGAATTAGCACCGTGACAGCTTAGGTTAAGATCGGAATTGAAGGGTTAAAATTAAGGGGTGGAATCGATAATGAGCACGGGCGATTGGTACGAATCGACTGGAGCTTCTCATCGGTCACGGGCGATTCGTCATTTTCGTTCAAGGCCTTCGTAGCCATTTATCCGGCTCCTTTAGTGGGGATAAGCCTACTGGCTAAAGGCCGGGCATTTGATAAAGAGGTGGATAATCGTGGGATTAAAATAATCTCACCGGGGCAGCCGGACTATGGCTCGGAATATAGGTGAGTCGCAATGAAAACGCTTCGAGAGACGAGCGTTTCCTTCGAGAAGACGCAAGCAGAATCTTAGTGTTTTTATTCAACTGGTTTAGACTTTAGACACTGCTGATTATTCATTTTGACCTTCGCGTCTCTTAAGATAATAAGAGACTAAGATATGGCCAATGCGATGTTGCTATTCTACTTGTCTGACCAAGCGTCGACTGGATTCACTTTGTATCAACAAAAATTGTTTTTCGTATTCTCAATACTAAAAAAAAAATAATTAATACTCCGTATGTGAAGTATGCTATATGGAAATTCTACTGGTCTGATTAAGCGCCGACTGGATTCACTGAAGTAGCGAATGTGATCGACGCGTCGATCGCTGCAGTAGTAATATCAACGCTTAACCCGACATGCAGTAATTGTATTAACACACTAACCGTCGCAGTAGTAATATCAACGCTTACCCCGTCATACAGTAATATTAACGCGTCGATTGCCCTTGTGAAAATCGCAATATGGAATACGTCCCATTACAATTGCAATTATTCGGAATATCATTGTTTCATTTTCCAATGTAAATTGTCCACCGATCACCGGTAACTTCGTGAACTTCTATCGAATCATAAATCGATTTCGAATTGCGTACACTGAATGTAATTCATTAAGCATATATGAAATATACGCTGTCGCCATCAATTTTCGTGTACACATGGCACATGTCGCTGCTAATGGAACCTTAATTGCAAAATTTCTATCAAACGGTCGCTCGAGGAGGCATCTTCAGCACGGAACTGCTTTAGGGAGTTTGCACGGAGCGGTTGTGTATCTTAAACACGATGTCACAGTGTACTTGTGGTTAAGGGACATTTATCAGGAGCGAACGAAGCTGTATTCTCAATTTGCGATAGAAGTAATCGTCAGAATTGTAGTATTTTTCTTGTTCCATGAACGCTATAATATTCACCTTTTCCGAGCCCAGTTATTCCGTTTTCATTGCTCATTTTCATGTTCCATTTGCCAGTTCGTGCGTTCGCATCGACAACGTCGTATTTCATTGTTCGTAAGACGAGTAAGCGAATAAAGAATAGATCGCGAAATGATATCGATGCGAAGAAGACACCATTTGGCTGTTTCTTGTACAGTATGCACCAGCGGTTTCCAATGCGATCGGACCAGGTGCATTCCGGTTGACTGGAGATGCGACGGCCACTTGGATTGTGCCGATCATAGCGACGAGATTGGATGCGGCGAGTGCACTCTATCATCCTCGTCCTCCTCCTCTTCCGTCTCCACCTTCAACACGAAAATAGTAAAGAAGCCCATTCTGGCGAAGAACACCGACTCCAAGTCGCCGTTGCATTGCGGAGAGAGAAGATGCATGTCCGCCAGTCTAATCTGTGACGGCGTAATGGATTGCCCCTGGGGTCAGGATGAACGCTATTGTTGTAAGCGAAATATTAACATTTATGCATATATCAATTAATCCTTTTATGTCGTACGTTGGTTGCTATTATTTTAATTATTCATAATAAAATAGTTTCATTTTCGAAATTAAAACATTCCGCTTGTAATCGTAAAAATGAAAAATGTACAAATGTTGCTTAACGTCTTTTACATATTTTCTTGATTATGATTTCACAAACACTGTTGCAGTAAAGCTGAGCAAACGGAACGGGGACATGGGTGAAGGAAGATTAGAGGTTTATCACGCCGAGATGGGCAAGTTTATGCCGGCCTGCATTTCGCATTGGGAACCAAACTCGGCTAAAACAATCTGCTCCATGCTCGGCTACACGTAAGAGCCATTAATTTGTGTTTCGATTGTTTGCTTAAAGACGAAGTTTCGGTTTGAATATAAACTCAAGGATTAGAATTTTGAATAATGCATCACAAATTTTGAATCGAATCATAAATCTTCGGTGAAAGTATAATCTTAGATCTTCGATTAATTAAGATCTTTTGGATTTTTAAATGGTTTCAGGGTTGATGTGTCATCGAAATTGATGGCTCGTCAGTATATCAACAACACTCAAAGCGAATCCAAAAATCTTCTCAAAGAATTTCAGGATTGTATCACGGATCAGGAGGTGTATCCCACGGTGGAGCTGACGTGTTCAAATTATGGTAAATCGATCACAATTACGTGGACAATAAATTTCTCATCAAACTCTAAATTGTTTCTTTAATTATACCTAGCATGTGGACGAAGAAAGACGGTTTACGGGAACTCGAGGGTGACAACGAGGATTGTCGGTGGCGTGGAATCGTCACCTGGTGATTGGCCATTTTTAGCAGCCCTTCTCGGTGGACCGGAACAGATTTTCTATTGCGCCGGTGTTTTAATTGCCGATCAGTGGGTTTTGACAGCTTCACATTGCGTTGGAAAGTGAGTTGTTTATTTCTGTATCCATATTTGCGTAATATGGCTATATTCCATTATTGCCAGGAATAAAAGGAATGACATAGTTTATATTTTTGATAGACTTCGTCATTCCTTACACGAAATCGATTGAATTGCGTTGTACTTTTCTTCTATCGTTTTGAATGATCGAGCTTCGCAGTTTCAGCTACACTGATGTATCTGGATGGACGATACAATTGGGTATCACTAGGAGACACTCTCACACTTATCTGGGACAGAAGCTGAAGGTGAAAACTGTGGTTCCTCATCCGAATTACAATTTGGGGGTTGCTCAAGACAACGACGTGGCTTTGTTCCAAGTAAACGATCCATTACCAATTCTTACGTTTGTTCTAGTAGACTTAACATGAAACTGTGAATTCTGTTCGTTTAGCTGGAGAAGCGAGTACAGTTTCACGAACATCTAAGGCCAGTCTGTTTGCCAAGTGCTAATATGCATCTCACGCCTGGGACAATTTGTACCGTGATCGGTTGGGGCAAGAAAAACGACACCGATTGTACGTATGGCATATTGATAGTTCATCGATACCAATGTCTATAATGAATTTGAACGTTACAGCATCGCAGTATGAACCATCTGTGAACGAAGTCCGAGTTCCAGTGCTGAACAGAGAAATTTGTAATTCGTGGCTTGCAGTGAACGTAACCGATGGAATGATTTGCGCCGGTTATGCAGATGGAGGAAAGGATGCGTGTCAAGTGAGTTCCTTTGGGAAAATGTTTCAATTCGAACTCTGATTATAATTGGAAAAATTACAGTTCAAAATTATAATTGTTTAATAACGACAGATAATTAATTTTTCTAAACAGGGTGACTCTGGGGGCCCTTTATTATGTCAAGATGAACACGACAAAGAAAAATGGTTCGTCGGTGGTATAGTAAGTTGGGGCATAAATTGTGCTCAACCAAAGTTACCAGGTGTCTATGCATACGTACCGAAATACGTGCCCTGGATTAGAAGCGAGATAGCTAAACACTCTGACATGGGTATGGGTTGATAAAAAATAACGAAGATGAGATCCAATACTGGCTCGTAAGATCTAATTAAACGTATAAAGTTAAGACAATAATTGTTAGCGACAATAAGCTGTGGGTACTTTCTAGTCGATGCTCTAAGAAACTTTGTTACCAAGTATATACACCTAGTTAGATACAATTATTATAGTTGTTTGCGTTGATCTAACTGGCAAAGGTTTCACTTTGTTACGGAAAACGGTGTTCCCTTTTAAATAGCACATTTTCAGACGTTGTACCTTCATCGAACTTTAAAGACAATACAGAAAATCTCTGCACTGACAGATATTTTAGAACTTGAAATTTTCATAATTTTCAGCTGAATCAAAATAGTCGAGGACTTCCTCGTTTCTTAATAAGAAGAAGAATCAATTCTTACGCTCATCTCATCCTTTCTTTTTCAGTAACGATAAATTCGACAATATAAAAGGGCACCTTAAACAAAAAAAATAGATCGATGTGGTTCAGAAGTTTCACGATTCCTTCAAAGTTAACAGTGTTATTCAATTTCCATTTCCACGCGTTTTCGAGTATTTTACAATCTAGTCGAATGAAACTAGACGACGAACAGGAGGACGTTCCACTTCGATCAATTTCTAAACGCCTGTGTGTCTATGATAGGAAACCTAAGTAAGAATGCGAAACAAAGCAACGGTGAAATAAATGGAAACATATTACGAGGGAAAAAAGCTTCGATAAATGAACGAGCTTTCGTCGCCATTTTCTAGAAATCAAAGCTCGTGTGTAATCTAGAAGCGTTTGTAAATTAACGGAAGCAGTGCGTAGAAGGCAAAATCTAATACGAAACGATCAGACGAATATTTCGCATCAGATGCGACTGAAAAATATAAAATAAAAATACATTTTCTATCGCCATGTATGCGCCACAAAGTGGCGATGAGTCAAAGGGTGTGCGTTTTTTATTCGATTCCAAATTGGGTAAAAGATGGATAGCGTTTGAGATACGAATTCGTGAAAAATAGCATTAAAAAATGAAGAAAAAATAAGTGGATAATTTTCTACGAATTTTATAAACGCACACCCGGTGTAGGAAAAGTGTCCTACGCATACTGCATGAGATGCACTTATGTATTGATAGGTAATCATAACGGTAAGGATTTAGAATGTTAACTATTATTGATACGACTAATATAAGATAGATGTTTGTTAACGTAAATATAATGTTATGGTATATGTACGTGTCTAGAGTTATATGTGTTAATTGTATACTAATGTAAAGGCAGAGAAACATATACAAATACGTATGTAAAAATAGATTATACGAGTACGTGTTAGGATTGGAGCTGAGCGAATTTGATAGCTTAATTTTCGAATCATTATCTATGAAATATTATTAAAAATACAACGTTTTATAGTAAAAACGTAATTGTAATTAAAAGAAATAGAGATCGAATTTCTTCTAAGACAATAATGATAAATCACACCAATATTTGATTACCAACAAATAACAGGGATAATTAATCAAAATTAATTCAAATGAACTTGTAGCTCAGCTTCCTATTTAAAGCTTTGAATATATACGTATTAATATAATATCTCATTTATGTTTCGAATGTGATCATTAAAGAATAAGGATATTTGAAACATAAATGGTACGTTAAGAAAACGAGTGTCGCTTCTAGTGTCACATTAGCGCAATGACGAGGAATTAGATTAGATTATAGGCTAAATACATGTTGACTGAATTCTAGGGACAATACTCTGCACCAGCACTTTTTTGATCCGCACCCGCAGATGGAAAAGAATAGTTTTTAATGCGACTAATACTTTGTACTGGATGTATATTGTTTACGATGAAAAACTAGGAGCCTTACTAATTGACTTAGACTTTTTCTAAGCGATAAGATTAGCGGTATTGTTGGTCAGGACAATAATATTTCCACTCTTCTTCACTTTTTTTCAAAAGTTTTTCCATCGAATTTCAATTAAAATCGATACGATTTTTCAATTTTAAGAAAAATATTATTCTAAAGCCTGAAAAATATATTCTTCTTTCTTCTTCAATCCATTTTTGGAAGCCTAACGCTTCTTCTCGCTTCTCAACATCCTGTTTCGCTAATTTTCTCATTCGAAATTACTATTTTCAATAAAATGCTCATTGTTTTAAAAATGACTATAAAGCTTCAAAAATTTTTTTGAACTCGTTTCCGGAAGTTCGATGCTTGTTCTCGCTTTCTAGAATTCTGGATCGTTGTTTTTCCTCTTTGAATATTTCTTGTTTGAACGAAATGCTCACTTTGCTACCCCAAATAAACCCGCGTTAGAGGATTAAAGTCTTCCTTAGTATCCAGACAACAGTTAGTTGTAAGCGAGGAGTTAATGTAAATTAATAATAACCGACAATGCTGTGTGAGCAGACAATAAATAATATTAGGAAATGATCCAACATGGACAATAAACTAGCATATAAGCATTCTAGGGTAATATAATTTTAAGCGTAATATTTATGGTGACTGTTGCATAGTTTTCTGTTTTGTGTGTGAATGCGAGTGTGTGTTGTTGCGTTTCGATTGTTATTAGCTGTATGTTTAAATGATAATCTAACACGTTGACTGTCGTAGTGAAGATAGAATAGATAATATAAATTATGCTATCCTTGTTTTCTTTGAATAATTAGTTGATTATATTACATTCGAAACCTTTCTCAAATAATTAAAAAATGAAAACAGCAGAATATTTCTAAATTGGTAAATTGAAGCATTGTATCAAAAAATGAATTTTTAATAGATATAATTGTCTCTACTGTGACAGTCAAGATGTTAAGAAGTGGCGGATGTAAATTTAACAATTTTAGAGACAGACAGATATTGAGGAACCTAAATTCTAAAATAGAGGTGGCTAAAATATTTCAAGCCTTCAAACATTTTACGTTTCACGAAACGTAAACTGATTCTAAAAAAGAAATATCTATGTTCGAATTAAGTTCCAGGAATTATTTCTTTTTTGACCATAGTATCCGGCAGCGATTGTATCGATAAATAAAATAGTAAACCTTTAACGTAAGCTTCTGCCCGTCATAGTACTTCAAATAATTTACATAAATCTTCGTTAGCCCGCGTGCGAGTATAAAGAGAAGAGTATTAAACGTACCGAAACGATGAAGTTAAAAATCAAATGGACAATCAGGATTTTTAGAAGGTGTTCGATGATATTTTTCTAAACTGACGAGGTGATGTGAAGTACCTATACTCTGAACAATCTCTTCATTTTATTCCATACAAGATATTCAAAACAAACCATAAATGACAAATAATCGTATGTTTATTTATCAGAAACGGCAATCGTATTATAATTCTATGTTACTATGTCATATTTAATTTATGAATATTTTCATAAATATTCCTTATGATCAAAGAGGATAGGTATTGTGAAAAGAATGAACGTGAATAGATAGTGTTCAGTGTTTAAAGAGCGTGAATTAAACGACGGTTTTTGTTTCATGGATAATTTAAATGGTTTTCTACGCGCAAGTCAATACTTGTAGTCAATACTTTAGGAGTAGGGATATCGTGTTTTCACATGTAGGTGATGGTTGTAAAGTTTGTACATGTTAAGTATGTGAAACCTTCGAGTAAACCTTTTTCACTTCAGTTAAATACTTGTTACCTAGGGATACTTATGGTGTCCTAGGAAATCCTGTGGCTACCTATCAAGGTATAAGAGTATTTAATGGGTGCCCAGGGATCCCTATAGCTAGTTATGGAAGTCTGGGAATACCTATGGAGACTTAGGGATCCCTATGGATACCTAGGGAAATATTGCAGTATCTAATAGGTACCTAGGTATAACTATGAAAGCGTAGGGATCCCTATGGCTATGTATGGAGGCCTGAGGATCCTTATGGGTACCTAGGGAAATATTGCAGTACCTAATAGGTACCTAGGTGTAACTATGAAAGCCTAGGGATCCCTATGGATATCTATGGAAGCCTAAGGATCCCTATGAATACCTATGGAGATCTAGAGAACCCTATGGATACCTATGGAGATATAGCAAGATCCAATAGGTACCTAGGGATTCCTATGGATACCTACAAAAACCTAGGGATCTTTAGGAGTGCCTGTAAGTGTCAATGGGTGGATATGGAAGCCTAATTTTTAGAATACTGATAATTACTTTGACTCGAGGGTGACACTAAATGCTGCGCACAAAATACCGGTGTCATTAAGGAAGAATCTTCTTCAGAAAAAAAGACTCGAAAGCTGGGTCTTCGAAAGATAAAATTACGGAACTGCGTAACTACTCCTGTGAAGTCAATGTCGATTAGCGAGCTATCCTAACGATAAACTGTATTCAATTATCGATAAGAAATGCTACTCGTAAGCTGTTTAATAACGTAGTATATTCTTGCATATACACGTTAGAAATATATTTGTATATCTCGAAGGGTTTACACTCGAACGTAAAAACAGGCTAATCTTAAGCGAGATGAATTCTAAGGAAAGAATTGCGAAAGAAACGTATCTGACGAACAGCTATAATGAACGATAAATTTATGAAATATTTAGAAATATTTATGAGAATGCAAAGAAACGTTGCCAGTATACAATCGTTACTTGAGCTTGAAGGTATTAAATCAACGATCACTCGAGCCCGAGCCGATCAAATTAACGTCAATTCGACATTTCCGTAGAGAAAGAAATGAAGAAAGTAAAATTGTAAGAAAAGCGACAGGATGAATGAATATTTTGAACGATTCGACTCGTGTTTGATGGATCACAATTTAAAATAATCTGCTCTGAGATCTTTCTTTTGAAAAAACATTATTTTCCAAACGATAATTAATATCACAAAGTACTTATAAAACGCTTCGTTTCAGCTTTTGACAATTTAAAAAAGATTCAATTAATAAGATCAAATTTTCACCAATTAATTTCACTGTTTCTTTGAAAGATCACGAGCAATCCGTAAGAAAACATATATACAGGGTGTTCCAAAAAGAAACGACGTTTTCTTTGAAACAGCCTGTAGACGAAATATTACACCAAGTACGTATATACTCGTGTAATTAACCGCGTGTTGAATACGCATTTATACGCTACGTGTTTCGTCCCGTGTTCTGTTCACCAGAAATCGTCCATCAAAGAAATTATTTACAACGAAAGGAAAAAACAATCATAGTAGTCGTACGATCGCAACAATAAATTGTTTAATCCTAGCCTAATAGACCCAGTTCAACTAATTGTTACCAAACGATGATAGTCGAATAGAACACGGGGTTGTTTAAATGTGATTGCTTCTTGTGCCCGGCACAAATCCTAATCGTACAATCAGTGGTCTATATATACATTAAAGAAAATTGCTATGTTTGCAGAATTATCGAGTAATTATAAAATAAGCGATTAGAAAGGTAAAATGATAAGTGAAACGTGTATATTAATTAACTGGTAAGCTGATGTTTCTATGTTGTGTATATGTTGCATAGATGTACATATATACATGTATACACGCACGCATACGTATATTTATGATGTGCATACAACAGTACACGTATAGACAATGCTGAGTCTAAATAAGCTTTTCAGAAGTCAAACTGATTGATTAAATTTTTGTTAATTGAATGCAGGATTTTTTAATAGGCCAAACCATTATTCCTTATAAGGTTTGTATCAAATATTAATTACCACTAAAAAAATTAGTAATTCGGAAAACTAACAATTTTATAATGTAGTTAGGTAAAGTAAAATTTTCAAATATAATTTTATCAATTATCATTTTTTTTTTTGAAATATTAATTTTGCAAATTTTTCTTTTCATTAGCTTGACTTCTGTGATGCTTTCTTAATCGTAGGTAAATATACCCCACACGTTCTGTGTCACTGTGATTGGTACCATAGACTTAGATAAGTGTTGTATCTATTATATTAGACGTGTAATTAACGTTAACACGTTGACAGTCCTGGTGGACACTATAAATTTAATATAATCGAATAATAAAAACGGAATGAACAGCAGTATTATTATACGAAGTGTGTAAAGTAGCAAATTGAAAAATTAAATAACTGTATTCTTATAATTGCGATTATAATTATTCACATTTTTACCGTGGCAGTGAACGTGTTAACGAAAGACAGAGACAGTCATTGCCTGTCGATCGCTTGAACGCGATTTGCTTCGATATTTCGCGCTTAAAAGGCTTAAGAATCTTTGATTAATTATTTTATGTTATTCTAAAATAAATTTTTCAACACTCTTTCATGTTTTAGCTTCAGCAAACAGCTTCAAATTTAACTTTTGCTCTTAAAAAGAGTCTTTAAAATGGGTGATTAAACAGCTTCTATAGGCATTAACAGCTGCATTAATGAAATTAGGATGGAAATAAACGAGAAACTTGTCGCGAATATTGTTTTGATAAGACATAACGCTGTTAGATTCGATGCTTGCACTGCCTATCATCGTGAAAAATGACTGTCCTCTGGCGTGGATACCGCACAATAAACAATGTTGTTGCATATATCGCTGTTAACTACCCATAAAAATTAAAAGAAAAAAAATGCTTCACTACTTTCCCATTATCTCGGCTCAATGTAATTTTTATCAAAAAGATATAACGATGATTTTTCTTTACTTAAATTATTTAAAAAATTCTTTTCAAAAAAGACTTTTACCAATTATCAAATCTGCAAGGTGTACAAATTTAAAATTATTACAAGAATATTTGAATAAAATCTTCTGTTAATAATAGCAAATACAGCTGGGTCGAGGTAATGGGAAAGTGGGAAAACTCTAAAACGAAGAAAAAACTAATATTCATAAGTATCTGGTAGTAAATTACGAGAAGATAATTAATACAAAATGAACTTGCTCTTGCTGGCCGAGAGTTGTAGCGTGTCGATTAGCAGTATGTATAAAATATATGAAGATGTATCTATTTACCTACACGGTATCACGTTTAGAAGAAGAAAGAAGAGAAAACTAAAAGGAGTCAAGTGTTTCGCGTGAACTAAACGTTAGAGAGAATTTATAATAGGAACGAATGAACTCTCCAATTTGTAACACTTTTCTATTTAAACTTTACGCTTCATTTGGGAATTTTGTATAAATTCAAAATTGTATTCCTACATTTTTATGTGAATTTAATTTTATTGGGAATACGTTTACTTTTCTAATGGTTTCTATTCGAGAGCCTGTGTTAAATGAAAAGAATATTTATTTTTGCAGATTGATCGCGGGTGAAAATCGTCTAATTTTAAAGTACAAACAAAGAGCAACGTTCACGAGACATATCCGGACATATCGTAGCAAAAAAAAAAAATATGAAACGAAACCGACATTCGATTTTTTCGAACAGCGGAAGTTGATCAATCGATTCGACTGCAATCTGCAATAATAGATATTGTTTTTGAGAGAAACGTGTGCTGTGAGTTCGTGAACACGACTCGGTTCGGTACAAAGAATTATATATTAAAAGAACACTTTAAAAAGAAGCAAACATGATAAGAAAAAGATGTATGTGTTGTAAGAAGATATTATACGCGAGCAAAAAAAGAAACTATATATATATGATGAATATTGATATATATGATATATTTATGGAAAATTCGTGTTGACAAATAAATTATGTATTAACAATTCTGCGTTCTTTACATTTTCTTTGACCCAGCATAGAAAACCTGTTATAATATACAATTTAACAATATTAAATTTTTGAGAATCTTAGGCTATAAAGTTCTACAGTCTATCCAACGAAACGAGATAGTAAATGCGTATAAATTCACGTACTCGAAGCAGGCTCGGCTCACAGTACACAAACCTCGACCGAATCGTTTGAAGAACTGGAAACAACTGAGCTCCAACCCTGCGTCGAGCGCGTAAATTTGTAAACATATACTGACTCGTCTCATTGGACGGACTATAATTGAAATTAAATTACGCTCCTTTGGTGAAGTTCCATTAGTGCATCGCACCATCTATCAGGTAAAGACTGAATGTTTTTAAGAATCCGAAGTGCACTCAATGGATCATCGAAACTATATGTGGCGCTCCATCGAGGGCAATGTCTGAACTAACATTCGATGAAATTTTTACGCTCTCTGGTGATGCAGCCACGAAGTGCATTTAATGCACCAACCAGGAGATAGCGCCACTACCGCATCTAAAATTTTACCCAGGAATAGTTCGCCTTATTTTGCACTAGATGACGCTATCATTCAATTTTTAAACTTTTTACAGCGGACGTTACATTAAATGGACCCTCAAATTTCCCAAATATAAAAACAATAGTGTTTTATGTTAAATAGAGTTTCTCAGAAAATAAATTCTCCAGGGATACTAAAAAAAAGCTTCATTTATGAATTACAAAACCCCTTCTTCCACTGTAATCATCAACCCATTAAATTCCAAGTCAATTTCTTCTCTGAACCCACTTAATTCTTCAAAATCCCTTTACAAGTAGGTTCTAATAAAAAAGAAAGAAAAGAATCAGAAGAAACCGTATCAATGTCATTTTGAATTCACTTAATCCTGTCCTAGTTAAAAAAAGAAGGGCTGCAAGCTAAGATTCATGAAGGGTAGCTGCATATGTCGTCCTCCGAAAGAAAGAGTGTCACAGTAATCCTTAGACGATGATTACACATTTTGCCTGAACATTCAACGTGACACGAAGCGACTAGTAACCGGGGTCGTTGCATAAAGGATTCCTTTATGCGAAGAGTCCTTCGTAGGCCGGGATAATAGAGTGAGAATCTGTGGCGAACGATGCACGAGATAGGATTTATAGCGATTTGAAATCTATCTGCGTGAAATCCGCCCTGATAGAAGGCTAAATGTCGCATCTCGTTTTCAAGAAACTTTTTAAACAGATATATGGTACTGCCATTGGTGTTTAAAGGACTAAAATTGGAGTACTAATATTAAAATTTCAGTATTGATGTTTATATTGGAATATTACTACCAAGATTAGACTACTGCTATTAATATCGTTATTGGCATAAAATTCGCATCGATGCCCAGTAAAAAACCATAAAAATAATAAAAATCAAGGAGCCGAAGCAAGAAAACGTGAAAAGAGAAAAAATTGGTTAGATTTATTCGCTTACGAACACGGTCTCTTCCCCGAAGCAGGATCCATGGTTGATTTAGTGCGCGGTATGAGCGCGACGGAAAATGCGTCGGAACCGGGCGAAATAAATGTTCTTAAGCAGCATGCCAATAAATAACGGTTTATTAACGTACTAATGCCTCGCGTGAAATTAACGGAAGTCCATGGCGGGAGACGCGGCGAAGACGGAGGTACCGCGAAACTGGAAGTCTTAAATGAACGCAACCGCACGCTGCGGTTCTAATTAAAACAAACACCATTAGAAGTTTTAGCTGAGATTTATAATCGCGTTTTTGCTTCTTGTATCTCGTTTCTGACGTTTCGACGAGTACTTTACTTCCTAATTTAAGTCGTTTTGTTGGCGCAAAAACAAAAGTTTTTAGAAATTAAGAAAATTTATCCTGACCTTTTCGTCGAGTAACTTCCTCACCGGTGTCCTTCGTTCAAAATGATAAGAAATTTCTTCAGCTGAAATGTAAGAAATACGAACGTTATACCCAATGAAATAATAATTATATTTGAACAGGTGCTGGTTAGTAATTGAGTCGTCGCGATGGTTATAGCGCGCAAATAAACATCCAATTTAATTGGTTAGTTTACGCCCAGGGAATTTTCTAATTAAAGCTACACCTATCTATGCACCGTTTGCGTGAGTAAATTTATATTAAAATTTATTTTTATGAACCACTGGTAATTTTATGATAAAAATAACGCACCTTTCTCTTCTGAATATTATAAAGAAATTCAGAAGGGTGATTAGATATTGCTAGTTGATTAACTAAGGGATGGTTCCATAAATTTAAACCAAACGAAGCATCTCTCACGATCAACGAGACCCTAAGACGTCAGATCTTGTCGCCGATAGAATTCGAATATTTTTCCAAAGCTTAATGAGCAGGGAACGCGATCGCGGAGAATACTAAGGGTAGACGAGGGTGCAGTTGGTGAACAGTGTGTATCAACGTTTAGACACCCGCTGGGTGATCCGTCTAATCCGGATTTAAACTCGCGTGTGCACGTTGCACTCGGTTGCATCCACGTGCGTGTATCTTCAATGAATTTTACTCGAACATTTGATACAAATAGCCTGTAGCTTTTTCTTCTTCCTTATAAGTTTGAGAAACTTCGAAACAGTGTAATTAATTTTAATATATAACACTGTGAATACTATGGTAAATTTGCTTAATGAAAAGACCAACATTACCATTGCGAAAGGATTAATCCAATAAGGAAAAACATCAGTAAAGCATCTCTCTTAATAAAAGCTGCCACGTTTTAATTACAAACTTACTATCAGGAAACTTGGCTCGGTTATATATCAACGAAGCGAAACAACAGCGACACTGTTTATTAATTTATCGTCGCCAGTCGGAAGGAGAAGCGTTGTTCCTTTTAATTATTCCTTAATTAAAAATCCACCGTTCCGGGATTAAGCGTGGCCAGTGTTCGCCCTCTTGTAAACGCCTGCTCCCTTTACCGAGCACTTCCTAGCCTCTTCATTCACTGGCTGGACGCTCACTTCATTTCGCACCACGCGAATACTGTTAATCGGTTTAAGAGGATCACCGAGGGATAAACCGAATTAAGGTGTCGAATATTCGAGCATCTGTTCCTTTGAGATCCTTACGAGCCCCGTGATAGCGATCTTCAAAGGGGTAGGTGTAGGAAAAATGAGAATAAGAATGGTATTCAAGCACGTGCTGCGAAAAGTATTAAAGTATTAGAGATTCGAACGATAGAATCCTATTTTCAATTTGGTTTCGTTCGAAGAAGCGAGGCGGACTAATTACGTCTTGAAAGTCCCATTAGAATTATTTGTCATTCTTGCCTACCCAAAACGATCAATTTTATTTCATTAATCACGCTGTCAGTGAGCTGGTAATTCTTCAGCTTTCGCAATTTATTTCGGCTAGTTAACGTCTCCACCCCGTGTTTTCAGCCGTGGAATCAGCGTGATTTCTTCGCCAGGGTAATTTTCTGCTCCGCGTTCCGCTCGAAACGAAGAGATGACGCCGTTTCGCCTCGTTTGCCTTCATTGTTTTTCCATCACGCGGGCACCTGCTGACCCATGCTTCTCACGGTAATCAACCGAACCCGAGGAAAACTATTTACTCACGGTGAATTTTCATACGGCAAACAAACTCGTTAACCGAACGTTTTGCAATCATCCCGAGATCTTTCGTTGATTTTATAAAAGAAGGACATTTTCATTGAATATTTGAGAATATAATAATTGCTACTTAAAACGTACCATCTGTGATATACCGAAACCCTTCAACCACCCTTTCAACATCTCCATTATCATTAATAAAAAAAAAAGAAAACATTGAATAATTCATAACCAGCGTGTTCTTTCGCGATAATTCTGTTTCCAAAATACTAGTCGATGAATATTGTTGATCGACATGCGGGCTCCATGAATTTCGTATAGGTTCGAGGGTAGATTCACCCCCCACGCGTCGAACAGGGGGTTGGATAGGAACGATCCGGTAGCAATTGACTAGTAATCGAGTAAAACTCTGACGATCAGGATAACTGGCCTTATCTAGATGCCGGGAATTAGGTGTATTGTGAGGAAGCTCGTTACACCGTGTATCGAGGTCGAAACAATTAACCCTTCGCGTGGGAGGGATGGTATTAAATGAAATCGAATTGCGACCTCCCTATGACGTCTAATTGACATGATCATATCAGCAGCGTCGTCTTTCAACCCTTGCTCGTTTGTTTGGAGACGATGCTCGAGGCAATTGAACGTCATTGGGGTTGTAATTATTTGATCAACTATACTCAGTAATTATGCGAGAAATTAAAAGTGTCGTCGTTGGATGAATTCAGATATACCGTTTACTATAGTCGGACAGGGTTAAATGATAAATTAAGAGCGTACCGATGTACGGGTGCAGAGGCAAGGGTCAGCCTTTAAAACAAACGTGTAATTTACCAGTGGCTAACCTGCTTCGGATTCTAACCTTCGTGACTATAATACCAAGGAGGGCAATGGGTCGAACGAGCCCTCGAGGATTATGATGGGTTATACTTTAGTAGGCGGAGAGGACTCCCGTTTAAGCAGTAATTAAGCCTCGCCACGCCCTCGGTCACGCTTCTTCTAACTCGCGAACTGCTCGAGGATGAACCTCTCTGCGACCGTAAATTATTAGGAAAGTCGAACAGGGCAACTTCAGGGACTTTTGAGAACGGTACCCTACGACAAGAAATACTTAGAATTTTCTCAAATGGTAATAAGTATTGATCCGGAGATTTGGAGTAAGAAATTACAGGGGTGTAATTTAGAGTGTAAATTTAAAAAACACTTTGAAATATCTTAATATTTCATAAAATGTTTCCAACAGATATTTTGAAGCTATATGTTTCTTCCAAGGATCATTAATATGATGATTAAAGGTATCTATTGCTTCCACGAAACTAAGGCAGAGACTCGCGAGTCGCCGATAACAAATTTATAATTCATTCAACGCTCAGACCAACAAATTACACGCGTCAACACACGGAGCTCACCAGGAGAACGCAGAAGCTGGAACAGAGAGAGAGAGGAGAGGGGGTACGGGGGTGGTGGATGGTTCGATCGTATAAATCTCACGTATTCGGCGGCGTGACGGCCTCTAACGATATATTCTGATATAATTAAAACAATAAATAAGATGGCATCCCACAGTGAGCACCGGGGGTCGAAGTCTAGCTACGTTTCTGCCCCCATACTATATTTCTATCTCTTTCCATCCCTTTCTCTACGTTTTGCACCGTGATCTCGTTGCTGCTTTCCAGAAATTACTTTTACCACGTACAACCCCCCGCTTTCTAGCTAACTAGGGCATCTTGGATTCCAAGAGATGAGCCAAACCCACTGGAACCCTTCACGCTTGCTGATTTTCTAACAGAAACTAGTGTTCCGATATTTTATCGAAAAGGAACTTATTTTTATGAAGAATAGTTTATCTATTTCTCCATTGAAAAATATAACAATCCATAAAATAATACACGACAGCGGAATCATTTTTACAGCAAGTTGGTGCAACCACCTGTGTTCCTTATCTCTGGTCATCAACCACCCTCCTCATTCGCACAAACGACTCGCAAGCACTTCATCTTCGAAAAGAAGAAGCAAGATAAATAAAAGAGAAAAGAAAGAACGCCAGATGTAACACGCGAACGCGTGTAGGGGCAGTAACAGGCTCCTCCGTATTCATTGAGTTTCAACCCCTTCGAAGTAGTCGATCCTTTTTCTTCCTGTTCCCGAGTCCCATTATTTTTCCAGGGAACCAGGCGGCGTCTGGGCGCGCGTCCATCGGAATGTCTGGCATTTCTGTTGGCTATCTCGAGCCACAGCGAAACAGTTGTCCTCTTGGTAGTGTTTCGTGTAAAACGCGCGAATCTTTCACTCTCTTTATCGTTTCGGCAACCAGAAACTCGTCGTTGCTGCTTTTCTACAGGGAATCGTTGGTTGTTCGAATACAAAATTTTGGAGAAAAGATTTTTTGGCTTTCATCCAGGGAAAACGAGTGGACGATACTTTAGCCGTTCGGCACACGCGACCATGAAGATTCCTATCTGCTCATGATAAATTACTGTCCCTACATGGGACCCTTCTCGCCCCCTCGGTGTTCTCTCGATCCAACAGTTCCTCTTCTTCGTGTCCAGCGCCCTCCAGCACCCGGTTTCACCTTAATATTAATTTGCCCCTCCATTGACCATTTTTATTACTCGCATATCTTACTGCCAACTTATTCCCGGTTGATCCTTTCAGGTTCTTCCTGTGTCTTGGATATGAGTAGATATCGAATTGAAAATTTCATTTTTTATTTTTATTTCATTTTCTTCAGAGTTGATAGAAACGGAACAAAGAACGATGGGTTATTTGAATCTTTAATATCTTTACGTATAAGTACTTCTATTTATGCCTGATAAATAGTGGAATAGTTTCTTCACCCTTTCTCCATGAATATTCCAAAATTTCTCATCAATACGATTCAAGAATTGTTGAAGAACTCTTTACCTGCAAGAGGCGTGTCTTCCAGGCGAAACATCATCGTGACCGAACGATTAATTACCTCGATGACCGTTCAAAATTCTCTGTTACCAATCTACCCTCGGTATTCTTCCGTGTCCCAAAGGGGTATTTCGCGCCACCCTCTCGAGATACGTGGGTCAGTCTCCAGGCGTGGTCGTCGACCAGAACGAAAGAAATCGTGCAATACGTTTAAACGTTTACTCGAGAGACTTCGATGCAAATTGTATCGATTGTTCGAGCAGCGAAGAAATTTGTCATCGAGCTTGTTCTCGAGAAAGGCGTGGCTGGCAGGAGTTTTCCTTCTTCGCTGTTTCCCTCGTTTTGCATGCCGATGAAAAATAGCGATTCGCCCGGGAATATCCAGCAACAGGTAGTCAACTGTCGATGTTTCTACGCTGCACGGTCTTACACGAGGTGATTTATGAATCAGAACCATGCAAAT